TTTCAAGGCTTAAATACCTTTCTTTTTTTTTAAATTTGTATTTGTGTGTGTGTGTGTGTGTGTGTGTGTGTGTGTGTGTGTGTGTGTGTATGTCTGTATGAGTATATGCCACATGAGTGTAGATGTCTACAAGGACAGCAAGAGGGGGTTAAATGCCCCGGAGCTGAAGCTGCAGGTGTTCGTGAACTGCTTGTGGTTGATGGGAACCAAACTCTGCCCCCTGGAACAGCAGGAAGTGCTCTTAAAGGATGAGTCATCTCTCCAGGCCCTACTGCAAAGTTTAAATTAACTAATATTTGTCACATGACTGAAGCAGCTGTTGAATGATGAGCTCCATAAAAGGGACAGCTATTTTTTTTTATCAACTCCGTCATCCCCCATCCTGAGTGTTCGGAAATGTCATAATCCTCTAGCTCTCTGAGTTATTTCATCCTCATCAAACTTGGAACCTACAAGACTGTTAGAATATCATCCTTTAGATCTGAATTTTTTCTTTTTAAAAATTGAAAATAATTCCATGCCTCCCCCTTTCTCTTTCTTAGTCTAGGATGGCTCAATTAAATCCCATTTTTCTCTGATCTACCTTATATGCTCCTTGTCTTTTTTTCTTCAGATTTTTTCATTCCTTTGCCTTTTTGTTTTATGTTCTGAGAGATTTTGTCATCCATGTCTCTCATCATGATTTTGTCATCATGCACCCAGTTTATTGCATTATTAATTTCTGCCTTTGTATCTTTAGTTTTCAAAACCTACCTCATGATCTCTGCTTCTTTTTTTTTGTTGGTACTCTGAAGTTTCTAAGGAGCACACGATCTACCTATCTGTCTTTGTGATGTTCAGGTAGACTGGTTTTATGACCCCTGCGTTCTGCTCTCTCACTGGCTTCCACACCATGACTGGCAGCTGTCACTCACAGATCCTCCACATCTCTTCTATCTCAGTTTGATAGTTCCTCATGACACTAACCCCTCCCACCTGTGACACATCTTAACGTTGCATTGCCAGCTCCCTGGAAGGAGATGCACATGTTGGTTCTTCCCCCAGCGGCTTTCCTTTCTGCTGCTGTGATAAGACTCTCTGGCAAAGGCCTCTTAAGAACGAACGGGTTGACTTGGCTCCCGGGTTCCATGTCTCAGCCCACCACTACAGCTCACCCTCTCATCCTTTACACAGTCCAGGACCCCTGCACAGGGAACGGGGCCTGAAAGTATCTCTTGTGTCTAAAGCTGGCTCCAACCCCAGGCCCTTTGCACATGCTGCTTTTTCCGGATGTTTTCCTTAGAGAGGGAGCCTTGCCTGTTTGGCTCATTGCCAGTATCTGCAATACCTCAGCTCACCTAGGTCTTTCAGGAGTCACTGAAAAACTGAGTAACTGCAGTTAGAGGGGGCACTGGGCTCTAAAGCCAGACTGAGACGCAGGACTCATTGTGTCCTCTAACCCTAGCTCTTTCTCCTTTGTGTGTCTTTGAATGACGTCATCGTGGTGACCTGCTTATGTGGATGCTGAAGTGCTGGGCTCATTCTCTCAGGAGATTGGTGTGATTTTCTGTTTTTACTGGTCTTGAATGACAGCCCACCATTCGTCTCTTTCCCCTGTGCTCCCCTCTTGCGTTCGGGGTGGCAGCTGCTGGCGCACTAATGGCGGCATCACAGAAGCTTGCACTAAAAGCATGTCTGGAGTGGAAACAGGCAGTAGACTGAGCTCATATCATCACCAGAGTTGCCCTAAATCAGAGTTTGATTCCTTTTGCTTTTGTTATTTGCTTTAGATTTTTTTTTTTTTTTTTTTTGGATAGGGTCTCATGTACCCTAGGCTAGCACAGAACTTGCTATGTAGATAAGGATGGCCTTGAACTTCTGATCCTTTTGAGAGCTGGGATTACAGGCATGCACCTCCTCATCTTATTTGTATTCCCTGCTGGGAATTGAACCCAGGACTCGATGCATGCTAAGCAAGCACTCCGCTTGGCTGCGCTGTATCTCGGGTCTGCTTGAATTCTTTAGAGGGTATTTCTCAGGTTCCAGCTTGGAGACGAATGCCCCATCTGTGGTTGATATGAGGGAAACCAATGTCAGATGCTTTTCCATAACATCCATTATTGTTATCTGCTCTGTGGCTCACATTCGACCTTTACTGAGGCTGAAAGGTCCTACAAGAGAGACCCTGTACCGTGTACCCTGGGAGGGGCACTTCCTTGCTCACTGGGCTCACGGTACCCATTCCCCATCCTCCTGTAGTCAAACTCTAAACCCACGGGTTTCCAGGCAGATGGGAGGTTAAGCTCAGTGGCTTAGATGCCGGAAGACCCCTCAATACATTGCAGTTTTTAGCGCTCACCTCCCCCAGTGACCTATAGTTTTACTCACTTGTCCTTACCCTTCTGCCGGGAGCTTCCTCCTAATGTTACGAAGTTTTATGATGATACACCTCTTGTGGGTGGTTTTAATTCATGGTGTTGAACATAGAATCCCTCCTTTACTTCTGGAAAAGCTTCTAGGCCTTTTTGATTACTTCCTGCTCATTATTTTATGCTCTTGGGGTCCCAATTGACTGGGTATTGCACCTTCCGGGTAGATTAACCACCTCTCTCATCTCTTTGTAATTTTAAATCTTCTTTCTGTACATTTTCTTCAATTTTATCTCCCTATCCTTTGGCTGAATTTGTTTGGGCTAAACTATTTTAAAATTTCTAGGGCCTCTTTTATTCTCTCGGTCTTGGAACCTTAAGCTTTATGTAAACAATATCCCCGCTCACCTCTTGGCTGTTTTGCTTTGGTGTTCTCTATTTCCTCTAGATTTATTTTTTCCCTCTTTGTGCCATGTGTTTTCTTTTGCTCCAGATGGCTTTCGGAATATCTGGGGTTTCCTGGCTGTGTGCTTATATTCAGGAGTCACACATGGCCGTTGTTCATCAGGAGGGAAGAATTAAATTATTACAACAGTTGGGTGTTCCCGGAGGGGAGATTCTCTGGGCCCACCTGGCAGGTGCATTTATTACGGAGCCTGTTCCTACGCCAGCTGTCCAGTGTCAGCAGTGAGAGAGCGTTGTCTATGTGTGACCCAAGCTGTGTCCTTACAGCGTGCCATGGTGTGAATGTTTCCTCTGCCCTGCCATGCTCATGTTGAAATTTGATTGCCACTGGGACACCATAAGCAGGACCTGGGAGAGACATTTAGGCTCCAAGGCTCTGCTGTCACCAACAGGTTGATGTCTTTGTCATGAAAGTACATTAATAATCATGGGGGCTCCTGGTGAGAGGGTGAGTGTGGACTCATTTCCCCATGCTCACGAGTCTGCAAGGAGCTAGTACCATGCTGGCGACTTCCACGTCTCCAGAACCATGAACCAAATGACTTATTATTTGTAAATCACCCAGCCTCTGGCATTCTGCTATAACAACAGAAAATGGACTGAGGTACCGTCTTATCTTATTCCTATATCCTTAGAAGCTGACTGATGGACAAGTTCATCTTGGTGTTCCCCAGAGTCTTAAGAAATGGTTTCCCAGGGCTGGAGGGATAGCTCAGCAGTTAAGAGCACTGGCTGTGGTGGTATTGTGTTCCCCGAAATATTGTGCATCCTAATAAACTTATCTGGGGTCAGAGACAGAACAGCCACAATATTAAACATAGAGGATAGGCAGTGGTAGCACACGCCTTTAATCCCAGCACGTGGGAGGCAGAGCTAGGCAGAAATCCATGTGTTTAAGGATACAGCCAAGCATGGTGACTCACGCCTTTAATCCCAGAAAGCCAGCCTTTAATCCCAGGGAGTGAAGGTAGAAAGCAGAAAGGTATATAAGGCGTGAGGATCAGGAACTAGAAGCATTTGGCCTGGTTAAGCATTTAGCTGGTTAAGCTTTCAGGCTTTTGAGCAGCAATTCAGCTGAGACCCATTCTAGATGAGGACTCAGAGGCCTCCAATCTGAAGAAACAAGACCAGCTGAGGATCTGGCGAGGTGAGGTAGCTGTGGTTTGTTCTGGTTCTCTGATCTTCCAGTTCACCCCAATACCTGGCCCGGGTTTGTTTTATTAATAAAGACTATTTAAGATCCCTGCTACACTTCCAGAGGTCCTGAATTCAAATCTCAGCACCCACATGGTGGCTCACAGTGTCTATAACCATAGTCCCATGGGATCTAATACCCTTTCCTGGTGTGCTGATGTACATGCAGACAAAACACCCATCTACATAAATAAATAAATTTTTTAAAAAAAGAAGAAAAGAAAAAAAACAGCTTCCATGGCATGAATGAGTGAATGAGCAAGCATTTGCTTAGAACACCCCCATCACTTCCAACAGATCCACACCTGACAGTGTCAGCCAGTTACTGAACAAACATGAAAAGGCCTGGGAAGACCAGCAGGAAGCCACCCCAGCTGGGCTGGGCTCATTCCCACAGCAAGGCTGTGGTCACTGATGTGTCTTCATCTAAAACAGGGGTAGTAACGGCTTCCCGCATGATGACCCCAAACCACTCAAGTCCCTTTACTGCTCTAGAAGCTTCCTTAGTCAAGTGCTACCGGTTGTGTACTAATTAGTCGTCTTGGCATTTGATAACCTAAGGGGCCACTTGTCTTCTGAGACCCGCAGAGAACGCCACACTCCCTTTCCGGCTCCTTCTCTCTTTCCCTCTGTAAATCAGAGCTTATGGCCTTGTTTCCAGTGCCAAGATGATAAAAGCTTTATTTACTTATTTGTCAAGAGTCAGGCTGGTGTCAAACTCAGTATACAGGAGAATAACGTCGAGGGTCTGAGGCTGCTGTCGCCGCCGCCGCCGCCTAAGTACTGAGAATACAGGCGTGCATCCCCCAGAGTGGCTTATAACATGTTAGGAAGTGAACAGGCTTCACGTGTGCTAGGCATACACTACCAACTGTCTGCACCCCTAGCCCAGTGAAAACTTTTCATAGTTCCTTAAGACTTTTGGGCAATAAAAATAACGAAGCTTTTCCCATTTAACTATGCATTATTTATTTGCATCATGCAAAGTATATACTAATGGATTTTAGGAAGCGCTCTCTTCAGAGTCTTACGACTTAGTGGAGGAAAAACACATAAACACAACTAATGTCAGTTTGGCAAATGCCGAGTTAGTACTAACACCACAAAAATAGCACTTAAGGGTGAAGAGTAAGCCCGCGGCTGTCTGTCAGGAGCCTTGCTGCATGTGCTGGGTCTCTAAGCAGTCCCTGGGCTTGGAAGCAAAATTCCAAATCCGGAAAATCACCTTGGGCTCGGCTCTTATCGTTTGCAGCTCGGATCTGTAAATTAACACATGGAAATCTGAAGTGACAGGCAGGTGTGAACAGGAACTCAGAGAAACAGCTGCTTTCAGGGATAATATTGAAAATACATAAAAGCTGTTAATAAATAAAAAGAGGCCCATATGTGTAGTTTTGAAGCCCAAAGCACTTCATTCCTGGCTTCTTCCCACTCCCCAAGTGTAAATAGATTCTTTTCCCCCTAAAAGTTAACCAGTTCTGCCCAGCTTTGCAAAGATCCTTACAGAAGCATCAGGACGAGGTTTAGTTTCGTGTGAAAGATTAAGATGGGATGGTTCCTATCATGACCCAGAGAGTGTCTAGAAAAGATGCAACCCAAGCTCACAAATACAGGGGGGCCCTGAGGCAAGGAGTTGGCTTCCACCTGGAGCTGCTGGGACTGAAGCAAGTGGTCAGCTTGCGACTCCCAGCATGCTCTTTGGGTCTTGTGTGGTGGTGGTGGGCTGAAGAGACAAGAAAGCACCACACCTCCTCAGGTCCTTTCTACCGCCACTGAACATCAGCACAGACCTGGGCATGTCTCCCCTGGCAGGCGTCACTTCTAGAGAGGACTTTGTGTGACCCCAGTGGCAGTCCCTGCAGAGCTCCCTGAGAAGTCACCACATCAGCACAAGGAGCCACTCCACCGGGTGGAAGGCGAGAGCAGGTCACAGAGCAGGTCACTGTCATGCAAGAGAAAGGGACAGGCCTCGGCAGTCCTGTCAGGAGCTCAACGGACAGAGCGGAGTAAGCGGCCGCAGACCTTCCCGCGGGAAGGCCAGGGATATTGGAAGTCACTGAAGATCAATGTCCTGACCTGCGTGGCGGGCTGGCCGTGCAGAGGACACACGCAGGAACCGCAATCAAAGCTGACAGCGGCCGATACCGGAAGGATCTGAGAAGAAAGGGAGCGTTGAGACGTAGGAACAAAACGAATTCCAATTACAGAGAAGAAAATGGAAAGAGAAAGGCCACATAGTATTCCCCAGGGCCGGCCAGGTTGACATGTGAAGGCTGGGTTGACTTTCCACTTGACCTTTAACCCAGGCCAGGCTGACCTTTCTTTTAGAACAAAAAGGTACTGAAATGATTCACTGGCCCAGGATCCCACAGCTTCAAGACCTTTCCTGGGGAAGGGCAGAAGTAGGAGCTTGAGTTGGACGAAAGCTCTCCTGAAACGGAAATTTTCTAGAACATTCCCAGAGGCATGGTCAGCAAGAGAATGTAAATGTTTATAAATCAGACTATAAAACATGAAAAGCCACGATACAAATTCTCTAAAAAGTTGAAATTCTTGGGTTAATCCCTACACCTGGCCTCCATAGATTTCCTGGCCGACTCTCAATAATTGCTGTTTTTGAGGCATAATGTCTCAAATGTAACTCAGGATGACCTAAAGCTCACCATGTAGCTGAATATGACCTTGAACTTTGATCCTCTTGCCCCCGGCTCCCCAGTGCCAGAATCTTAGTCCAGTGCCAGCAGGCCTAGTTTATGTGGTGCTGTGGTAGAACCCAGAGCTTTGTGCATGCTAGGTAAACACTTCACCAGCTGCGCTACATGCCAGCCCTGATAACTGCATAAATCTGTGTGCCAGGAACAGCACTAGACCAGAAGAAGATGGCGCCAACAATATAGTCACAGTGAGCACATGCTGAAAGGGGAAAACAGACCTGGGGATGTCCTATAGCACCTGTGATGATACAGATCAGACCTGGGGATGTCCTATAGCACCTGTGATGATACAGAACAGACCTGGGG